AAGGATCGCCTCTCCCCCCCCCAAAAAAAAAAATAAAAGAAGAAAGGGGCTAGGTTCAGCATTATGTAAGCACCTCTCTTCCTCGGTGCTTCTTTGGTTAGCCGGGGCTCAACAGCAGTGGCGGATCATGGGGTCCTCTGACCCCAGTGACAAGATGACACCCTGGGGGTCCTCCCCCGAGAAATATTTTGAAATTTCGACCTGAAATTTTTATCTTTGGAGTATATGCCGGGCGGGAAGTCATATACTTAGTTCTAAGCAGTTGGTGTCGATCTGGATTAGTAATCTGAATGAAGTTATTGCAGATCATATATCCGAATACTGTAGAATTTGTTTCTTCAGGAATATACTCGGGTCCGATGATACCGGTTCGCGATTCTTGTTGTCAAGCGAGCTGGTTGAGTGAGAAACGGATCCCGACGGAAATATTGGACAAAGAAACAATATTTCGGGTTATGGAAATATTTCTGATATCAACTTCCCGCTGCCAACCCACCCAACGTGGAATCGTTGATATCATTTTATTTTGACCAATGCTCCTTGGGGTCCCCCTACCTAATAACTTCAAAACTCACCGAAAAAAGGCCACTTTGTTCCACGATTCTTTGGGAAATGGATCTTCATTATTATTTTCTACAATATATATAAAAAAATATTCTTTTTTCACCAAATCGCTGGGCCCAAGGTATTTGCTTCGGCTGCCGTCATTGCTCAATAGTGGTGCTAACTGGATGAAATCGACAACTTAATTTCTACCAGATACTTGTATTTCTAGTTGAATCAGTATCGATCTACAAAGATCCTCGGGATTATGGTTAACGTACACGTAAAAGAACCCTTGGCATTTGGAATTCGAGGAAGAGTAGATGGAAATAATGACGTCCGTACACAATCGCCACAGCACACTGTCCAGCTGGTGTAAGAACTTGGAATGCTTAGCCCAATTTCATTTCATTAATCAGTATATCTGATTATCTTTAATCTGTAACACATACGATGTACATGAATGTACATTTATTCCTGAAATTGAGTAATTTAGATTGATTCCTATTTCTGTATACGATTTCTTGCAGAAAGTCTGAGGTCTGTAAATTAGTCCATAAATAGCTCCCCTGGATTCTACCTCAGCTTAACATATCCAAAACTGATTTCTTATAAACCTTCGGCGTTTTTAATCTGAGATTTGAAATCCACTGGTTTTTATGCAAGATTTCACAGAAATATAACACTGCTATTGCGTGTATGTAAATAAGAAGAGGAATCGCTGTTCTCGAAAGAATAAATACACCCTAGTGCACGACATCCGTCACTTGGTAGCCTACTGCCAACCGTGGAAGCTCTAGTAACATATTTTAGCCCAGTTAGGACCTATTTCCATAGATCTTCACACAAACTGTCATGTTTTCTTATCCTCATTGCCAATCACTTAGTTCACAAAGTTAACAAATGTTTAAACTACAGAAATTAAATGGGATTTATCGTCCTACTGCTCTGCTCCAACTGGGCTAATGAAGACGGGCATACGCTATACAGTGTGCTATGAGGGAAGTTCAGCCCGGACAGAGGTCCTAAGGCCTATTTTTATATCGAATTCCAACTGCCAGGGGATATTTTACATGCATGACAATGTGGACACGGGACCTCCGTTTTTAGTCCCATCCGAATGATTACCCAACCTCGTGGGTTTCTCCGGTTCTCTCCTATCTGCTAAAGACCACTACGCGCAAGAGAATTATTGAAATAAAATTGAACCATGTTTTAGTCCCGAAATGATCTAGTTTGTGTCGAAGTCGAGTGGACGTTAAACCCCATTTAACTGAAAACAGATTAATGTGAAAGCATATAGCATTCGTTGAATGGATGTGCAGGAAATAATGAAATCGCTAATAAAAAATAATAAAACCACCGGGATGCAATGCGCCACTTCTAAGCATTCAAAGATCCGCGTTTGGCGCATGTGCCAGCGGCTGGCCATCCCTGTCCCATATTGTGCTATGAGGGAAAATTTGCGCGGAGAGTAGCGCTAAGGTCTACTCTTATTTCAAATTCCAGCTGTCATGTGTTCTTTTACGAGCACGTCAATGTGTGCACGGAGGCTCGGTTTTTTCGTTCCATCGGAACGACTATACACTGTCCTTGTCAGGCATTCCTTCCTGCACCACTGAAAAGGGGGAACCGCGCAGAGGATAATCCCGAGAAACGTTCGTTATGCTTACTCTTTCTGGAAAATGAAATGAAATGGGGTTTAACGTCCTACTGTTCTGCTCCTAAACTAGGCTAATGAAGACGGGCATACGCCATACAGTGTGCTATGAAGGAAATTTTGCCCGGGCAGCGGCGCTACGGCCTACTCTTAAATCGAATTCCATCTGCCAAGGGATCTTTCACGTGCACGCCAATATGTACACGGGACCTCGGTTTTTCGTCCCATCCGAACGACTAGACAGCAGAGCTGTCCTTGTCAGGCCCTCCGTCCTGCATCACTGACAAGGGGAAACCACGCCGGAAAATCTGGATGAACTTTCTCGGCCAATGCAGGGATCGAATACCCGACCTCCAGGCTAGCGAGCCAGCGTCTTACCCACTTAGCCACGTGACCCCCCTTTCTTGAAAACATAGTACATTGTACTTTCTTTTGTTGCACTTTCGTGTTTATGTCTTATCTACTGAGTTTTTATACACCCCGATTAAATGTGGTGTTTTTTTATCGTCACATATTATGTTTGTCTGTCCGACCAGTTTCCGGTGACAGTAATAAAGTCAACATTTTTCATTCGATTTTTAAACTTGATTAAACTTTCCTTGTGTCCCTTACTCATAAAAAAATGTCAATGCTATCAGTTGAAACAAGCGGTTGCCATGCAAGATACACCCACATTTTGCAAGAAATGTATGGGGAAGAGGTAAAATAATAGGGCTCATCCTCTCATTCAAGATCTTTGGATCCTTAACATATTTAAGTTTCCTCAGAATGGGACAACAATTGTAGCCCCTCTGGAGGGATTACAAAATGCATACATATTTCACATTTTGCGTAAAAAGCAGGGGCTATAGCTCTAGAATGTAAGGTCTGATGCGTACCAAAGTCGAACTCATCCAAGAACTTTTGATCCTTAACACATAGTTTAAGTTTCATCTCATGAATCGAACAAGAATTTTCACCTCTGGAAGGTCCACAAACTTCATTCATATTTCACATTTTGCGTAAGAGGCAAGGGGCCAACGCGCACCAAAATTGAACTCATCCAAGAACTAGGGCTATTCGTATTAAGTTTCATCTAATTCGCATAAAAATTGTGACATCCAGATGGTCCACAACCGGAAATTCGGAATGATCCATTTGTGACTGTAATAGGCCGATGTTTGAACGGTTTTGAAAATAAGATAAAAAATAGTGGCCTCTAGAGGGTTCACAGTCTAAAAACCTGATATGTCGTACAGTCAGGTGTCCTAGTTCAAAAGGTTACAGTCCAATGCGCGCCAATATCGACAGGAACCCAGACCTTTGGAATTATTATTATTAGTATGATTATGCATATTTGTCAAGTTCAGTATCGCCGGAAACCACCATCGACTGTGTTTGCATGATAAAGTACTTAGAAAAAAAAATCACTTCATTGCTGGGTATTTTTATTAGCCGGAAATCGCTTATATAGAAAGCGTCTCTGACGATCTAGACCCCCAATGAGCTTCTGGGCCCATCGCCTGAAGTCCTTGGATAGTACCCCCCCCCCCTCCACCTCCCCCACCCAATCAAGAATTGCTTCTACCAACCCTGATACGTAAAGTTTTTAGAAAATTTCACTAAAAACCTGGTATTTGTGAGAAATGAGCACACAAAAAAAATATCTGAAAATTCACTAAAAGAATAATCTGAACTTTCAGTTATGTATTCTAAAGTTCTGTATAAAGTACAACAGAAATTATTAGCTATAGCAACACCTCAACAGGGAAGGGAGCCACGGTGGCTGGGTGGTTAAGACGCTGGCTCGTTAGCCTGGAGGTCGGGTGTTCGATCCCTGCATTGGCCGAGAAAGTTCATCTGGATTTTCCGACGTGGTTTCCCCTTGTCAGTGGTGCAGAACGAAGGGCCTGACAAGGAGAGCTGTCTGGTCCTTCGGATGAGACGAAAAACCGAGGTCCCGTGTATACATTGGAATGCACGTAAAAGATCCCTTGGCAGTTGGAATTCGATATAAGAGTAGGCGATAGTGCCGCTGCCCGAGCAAAATTTCCCTCATAGCACACTGTATGGCGTATGCCCGTCTTCATTAGCCCATTATAGGAGCAGAACAGTAGGACGTTAAACCCCATTTCATTTCATTTCATTTCTCAACAGAGAAGTGATATCAGGTGTTCCAGAAAGATTTGGCTAATCGCATCCTGCCCTGGAGATTCCAGTTGTGTATTCTAAACTTCAATATAAAGTACAAGAAAAAAATTGTTAGCTATTGGAACACCTCAATGGGAAGTGGCATCGGGTGTTCTAGAAAGAGCAATGTCCTGTCCTGGAAAGATGGGTCGCACCTAGATTTCAGGGGTAGGGGGCTATACTGAGTGGAAATTAACTTTGGGGCCAAAATCACCAATAGGGCCACCATCTCAGCGGTTAACATTGTTAACAAACGTACAGTAAAAAGTGATCACTACACTCCAAATGAAATAGGGTTTAACGTCTTAATTTTCTGCACCAACCGGGAAAAACGGTATATCTCTATACAAATTCCAAAGTGTTGTTCTATTCTATAGCTATATAGATTTTAGCTATTTATCATGGAAACATCTTCTGAATGATAATACAACGGCAAAAATCTGCATAAAACAATAACATTTTCATTCATCAAAGAAAAACAGTTTCTTGAAGTAAAATCCTATTTATTAAATTTATTAATTGGGTTTTTATAACAGGCGGCTTTCACATTTTCGTCAATTTATCGATACATTTCGATTACCCGCGTCGTGACGTTGGGGAACCTGTCTGGAAATATGTCCATTTATTGGCTTAGTTATGTCACGTGATCAAACAGGCCGCCATATTGGACTTAGCTGTATTATTCTAAGTAGAAATTCGGGTGGAATTTCGCCGCTACTCGGCTGAAATATCCTTCTATGGAGGAAAAAAGGTCTTCTGGCAGGTACGTACCAAGGCTTTGATTATTTCAGCTGATGGGTGAATTATACAGTCTCGAAAACTCTGGGAAAATAACCCGTAAACACACCAAATTATTGAGTTGTGAACGGAAGCATCTATTTGTAAACAAGATATTTTATCAACTCTAGTACGTTTATTTTTCAATAAATACACCTTGAATTTGTTATTTATTTGCCATTATATTTACAGGTCTAAAAGACAGCTCAAATCTATCGATGATGGGCATTGGGATTGCAGTGTCTGTACATACAGCAATTCACCAGAAGCTTACAAATGTGAAATGTGCGACGTAAGGAAAGGGACTTCAACCAGGTTAGTTTGACCTGCTCTTGACCCAGTTTACCTACTCTTGGCTGTGTAGTGTAAAAAATACACATTATATCTCTACACACAACCCCAAACTATTCTCCTATTAAATTAATTCCATATTTATATTGATCTTTAAATGAATTGACATTTACACTTTCATACAAAAAATAAGTTATTGTGCCTCTACCTCTAATTTATAAAATCTATAACAAATACTTGTGGAAAACAGAGCTACTAATTTATTTGGGCGAGATTTCGAAGAGTGTTCTCTATGTTATCAAGCTAATGCAGTAATACAAATTGTGAGGTGAATATATACATAAGAATTATAATGACAAATCATGAAACCATACATGACAACAAGAAGATCAAAGGACGAGAACTGAGGACTCTAGTCTAATTAGTTTTCCACCATCATATATGAAGTATATGAACATGCTGATGCCCCATTTCACAAAGCAATTGTCAAGTTACGCAAACGTAGCTTCAAAAAAGTTGTACAGTAAGCATGTAATATCATGTGTGAAGTGTGAAGCCTTACCATTGCTTTGTGCAAAGGGATCCACATAGTTAAGACTAGAGTTGGATGTACATGTAGGTGGGGTATCAATCAAAAATTGACTGCTCTTCAGGAATGACATAGAGTATAACGTCCTAATTTTCTGCTCAGTCAAAGCTAATGAAGACGTTCATATATCAGGGGTCAAAGTGGCTAAGATGCTGGCTCGCTAGCCTGGAAGTCGGGTGTTCGATCCCTGCATTGGCTGAAAAAGTCCATCCAGATTTTCTGGTGTGTTTCCCCCTTGTCAGTGATGCAGGGCTGAGGTCCTGACAAGGACAGCTGCCTAGTCATTCGGATGAGAAGGAAAAACCAAGGGCCTGTGTACACATTGGCATGCATATAAAAGATCCCTCGACAGTTGGAATTCAATATAAGAGTGGGCGGTAGTGCCACTGTCCAGACAAAATTTCCCTCATAGCACACTGTATGGTATGCCCGTCTTCATTAGCCCAGTTTGGAGCAGAACAGTAGGACGTTGAACCCCATTTCATTTGTTTTGTCATACATGTATATCAGTGTGTGTGTCCATCCGTCTGTTTGTATGTCTGTCACACTTATTGGGACATAATAAGTCTGCTTCTAATTAAGCTTGAATTTTCAAACTTGGTGAATGCCTTTACTGAGTTCGATGATGAACATTTTCGGCTTAGGCTAAGAAGAGATACGCAATTTGATTGGTCGATGCTTTGGGACACGATAACTTTGCTTCTAATTAAGTCAGAGTGATAACACTTGGTGTATAGTTTCTGTAATTAACACCTTGACTATGTTTGATAATGAGCTTTTTCGGCTCCGGTTAAGCAGAGTGATAAGCAATTTGATTTGTCGAGACCTTGGAGCTTGACAACTTTGATTCTAATTGAGTGAGAATGGTGACACTTAGCTTTATGTCATTACATCGATACCTTGGCTAAGTTGGATATTGCACATTTCCTATAGTTTCATTACATCAGTATCTTGAGTAACTTCATTAATGAACATTTTCTGCATTGATGTTTTGGGACACAGTAGCTTTGATTCCAATTGAGTAAAAGTTGGTGCACATGTATAGAGTTTCATTGCATCAAACTCTTAGTATAGTTTCAGTACCCGGTACATCAATACCTTGACCACGTGTAAGTTTGATGATGAGCAATTTGATTGTTGGAGCTCGACAACTTTAATTCTAAATGAGCGAGAATGGTGAAACTTGGGGATATCATTACATCAATACCTTGACTAAGTTTGAAATGCCCATTTCCTATAGTTTTGGGTCATGATAACTTTGATTCCAACTGAGTGGGAAAAATGATAGATGCTTTATAAAAACATAAATATGCAATTAAAAAATGTGTGTCATTTAATTACTTTTTATTCGCCCACATGGAAATGTGGTCGTATATTGCCGTCGCCCCATCCGTTGGTTTGTCTGTCGTCCACACTTACTTGTGAACACTCTACAGACTACATAGAAGCCTATTTAATTTCAATAATTTCTGTTAATTTCTTCTGGATTTATGGTCCTTGTTTCACTTTATTGCACCTTGTAAATGCTACAAAGACAACAATTAGCTTCCGATCTGTATGAAATTTAAATGCATCCTTTAAATTAGTGAAACGAAGAAACCTATTGAATTTCAGCAATTTCCCTTTCTAGAGAGTAATGCCCCTTGTTTCACTTTGTTGAACCCTGTGAATGCCCCAACGACAAAAGTTATCGTCCAATCTGTATGAAATTGATATGCATTATTTAAATTAGTGAAACAAAGAAGCCTGTTGAATTTCAGCAATTTCTGTTAATTACATCTAGAGTCATGGCCCTTGTTTCACTTTGTCGAACGCTGACTGTGAACACTCTTTCAACAAAAGTTATCATCTGATCTGTATGAAATTTATGTGCATCCTTTAAATTAGTAAAACAAAGAATCCTATTGAATTTCAGCAATTTCCGGTTATTACGTCTAGGGTTATGGCCCTTGTTTCACTTTGTTGAACCTTGTGAACGTTCGTACGACAAAACTTATCATCTGATCTGTATGAAATTTATATGCATCATTTAAATTGGGGAAACGAAGAAGCATTTTGAATTTCAGAAATTTCTGTTAATTAGATCTAAGAGTTACAAATGTACAGTATGTATGAACCATGTGAACGCTGTAACAAAAGTTACCATCCGATCTGTATGAAATTTATATGCATCATTTAAATTAGTAAAACGAAGAGGCCTATTGAATCTCCATTAATTATTTATAGCCTTTGTTGAACATTGTGAAAACTCTTTTAACAAAAATAGTTATTATCCGATCTGTATGAAGTTTATGTGCATTATTTAGTTTAGTAAGACGAAAGATCCTATCAGATTTTAACAATTTCTTTAAATTACTTCCAGAGTTGAGGCCCTTGTTTCAGTTAGTAGAACCTTTTGAACCCTCAAACAACCGAATTTATAATCTGATCTGTATGAAATGGTCTTGTAAATGCCCCCCATTACCTACAAAATGAATAAAAATGCTACAACCCTTATCGACAGCTCGGAAGATTTAGCGTCTGTGGGCATATGTTTTGTTGCCTGGCGGAGGACATGATCAGCCTCACTGTTGGCTTGTTATTTTATCTATTGGACTTTTTGTTAAAATTTATGTAAACTATGTCTAATGGCATACAAATGGTTGTGTTAGGCCCTCTAGGTCTCCATGGGCAAGATTCTTCACTTTATAAAACCAATATTTTGTTTTTATAGTAGATTTAAGTGAAAACAGACATTATGTTAAAGATATAAATGAACAATGTACAAAGACGAAAGCCATTATTTCTTATTTTAAATCTTTTATTTTAAAAGTCAGACTTGATGGAAAGTTTATTTCCATCTACAAATTCTGTATTGTCCATTAAAAATTTTGTTTTTGGGTGATCAATTTGGTTATTTACTGCAACACTGTAATGGCTTGATAAATGAAAACCATACGTCCGAAAGATTATCAAAGGGACAATACTAGAAGTGACTGATGTGGTTAGTGGAGTTAAATTGATTTAACTTTCATAAAGTTTTTTGTGATTTCCTTTGAGTTTGTTTAACAAATAGATTTATGTAGACTATTCAGTTTTCAAATCCACAACTTGGTCTAGAGTCGAAGTATATTCATAATATGGAAACAGCTATGTGGTTGATCTAGGAATAGCACTATATTAAATGCCCTGTGTACATGTACATTGTATAAACATTTTTGGTATCATGTCAGTGTCTAATCTGTTTGAATATTTCATAGATGATCAGTAAAAGATTAGATAGTAAAATTCATATCCAATCTTTTTTTTTACACCCAAATTGCCGTCACTTGGCCCTCCCTACCTGTCAGTGAGTTGTCCACAATTATGACTTGTGTACATCTCTAGAGGCCAAAGTTATCATCTTAATTGTTTGACATTTATACACAATTTATCTGTGATTTTCAACAATTTCCGATCATTACTGCTGCAGCTCTTGATCACTTAGAGAAATCTTTGAGTACATGTAGAATGTAGACCACCTTTAGGCTTGTAATTTATATACAGTGTTTATGGACATCCATGACAAATTTCCTTCAATGATTTATATCTTGATTTATATGATTTATATCATTGCTGGTACATGTTTTGTTTATGTAAGTGCTAAGAAAAACTACACATAGAAGTCAATAGATCAAAGTTTAACTGTTTCTGATAATTGCTTCATGGATTATTGCCCTTGTCCAGTTTGTAAATGCTTCCATTACTTACATACATGTATACAAAAAACAATAAACAATAAAACAGTCTTTAGAGGCTACTCTCACAACTTTGTTCTTGTGGGCGAATATTCTACTACCTGGCAACCTACCTTTCAAAGGTTGAAAAGATTTGTCAATACGCTTCTTTTGTTGTCGTTTTTAAAATTGCTTTTAACGACAAGCGTAAGATTTAAGAAATGTCAATTGTTCTGAGCGTGGTGAAAATGTCTTTGATATCATTTTCTGGCCAGGAGTAAGTAACCGAAGCCTATGTTATAAAAAATACTGACATTTTCTGTCAAACGCTGAAAATCTTGGAGATGAGTTTTTTACTGTAACAAATTACTTGAATTCTATATCAGCAATTACTGTAAAAACATGGCCTTAATATTAATTCATTTAAAATCATAACTTGAGTATCGTTCTTGATTCTTTTGCACTACATGTAGTATTTTTAAAAAGATGTTTTGACCTTTGAAGGATTACTTGGAACTTCGAAGGTACATGTATCTTGAAGGACATCTTTGATAATGGTCATAAACAAGGGCCAAGGGCCTCAACAATAAATACAAGTTTTATTAGATATACAATGTATGTTTAGTTTTATATTTGAGACCCTATAATCAATGTGATACTGATACCAGTATAACAGTTTTCTTGAGCTGGGAGATGTGCCTTTAAATTGGGTGTTCATTTAAATCTGGATATAGGCTACT